CGGCGGACGAGGTGCAGGAGGTCGTCCATTTCCCGGCCGCCGCGCACCCGCCCGGCGCCGCGCTAGAGGTGAGGGCGGGGCACGAAGAGGCCTTCGGGAGACGGCAAAAAAAACCCAAACAAACAACCCTTTCATCCTGTTTTCTGTGTATTTTTAGCACACGATTTGGCCGATTAATCATGGAGAGATGCTGGCCAAAGCGATGGCGTGAAAGATAATTTGTTGTGCGCTCTGACTTCTTGCAGTGCACCTACATCAAAATTGAGCAAGTCGAAAAGACCCACGCCGTGGTGCTGAGCCGGCCCTCCTGGCTCTGGGGGGCAGAGATGGGGGCCAACGAACACGGCGTGTGCATCGGGAACGAAGCGGTGTGGGGGAGAGAGGAGATCTGCGATGATGAAGCTCTCCTCGGCATGGACCTCGTAAGGTTTGCGCAGGCTATTTTGGTAAATGGTACTGAATTCGGGAGGTCGTTCCGAAACATTTGAATTACATGGGGAAATACGTGCTTTCACTTTCAGAAGACACGTCTGTTTCTTCTGCTGTTTTAGCCATGGTTAAAAATAAGTATTTCTTGGCACAGGCGTTAGATCTCACGAGCTGGGAGCCTGTGGGAGGTATCAGGTGCTGGAACACAACCTGTCAAGGAAATCATCAAACGTTTTTCTGTCAACGAAGTTTAGTATCAACTGAAACAAGGCTCTTAACGAAAGCACAGCTGGACCTCAGGAACTAGTGTTAGGGCGTTTTTTTCTAGGGTCTGTACTCATTTCCTATTTTCCCACATCTATCACACAGAGGTTTTTAAGTTTCACTCTTAGCCATGCATCGCCATGTAAATAAGGACAGCTTGTTGTGCCTGCCTTACTGGGTGCCAGTGTAACTCTCGTGAACCTGCAGCAGTCAGTCAGTTCTTCCTGGTACTGTTTCCCCCCAGCCCAACACCCAGAAGGACCTTGCAGGTGTTTCCTATGAGCCCTCTCGCTGCATTTCCATATTTCTATTTGCTTGCTTTTCCCCATGTCAAGGACATCGAGGACCCACTTCAAACAAGCCCTTTAAGTGACTTGCTCCTTTCTCTTAGCAGATCATACAAGCATCAGGTACATATAGAAATAGCATTCCAAGTCAATTTGAATATTCAGGCTGAATAGTTGAATGTAAAGTTTACCGTTCCAAAAATAACATCTTCCTTTTGTTTTAGGCTTGGACTTGAGAGAGCAGACACAGCTGAAAAGGCTCTTACTGTCATAGTTGACTTGATAGAAAAATATGGACAGGGAGGAAACTGTATGGAGAGCCACATGGTATTTACATACCATAACAGTTTTCTGATAGCCGACAGAAAGGAAGCATGGGTGCTGGAGACATCAGGAAAATACTGGGCAGCAGAAAAAGTAGAAGGTACGGATGATGCTCTTTGTTTTAAACATTTCAAATGCAATGACAATTAGCAGTTCTCCACTTTTCATTTACCGTTTCATTAAGGCATCAGACTAGCCTCCAGATATGTACATGTGCCTGTAAACAACAGGAGTTGCTAGTGGACTCCATCAGTGTGGAGTGGCTAGCAGTTTCACTGAGGAACTGAGTCACAGGGGGCCTTTTCAGAGTCAGAGATGACCACTTCTGCACTTGGAAGAAAGAGGAAGGTCGGCATGAGAATGACAGCAGTATAAACAGTCTTAAGGATGGTGGCAATCGATGGCAATTTCATTTGGTGACAGGGTAACACCGACAGGATCGGTACTTTGGGCCCTGAAGTGGCTGATTGTTCCAGTGGACATAGAAGGACAAGCTATGTCTTTGGCGGTCTAAGACGAAGAATGTAAAGATGGGAATAATCAGGACAGAACCTGAAATATGATGTTGGCAATAGAAGTAAATGAGTCAGAACTGAGTGGCAGTGGAATTTCAATCAGAGGGATACATCTAGCCAAGGGGAGAGGGCCAAAAATAAACCACAGGACTCTCAGATCTTGTGGGAAACTCTTCAGTGCATAATTTGCTTTAGTAAGCTCATTGCAAACAAAATACTAAGAAAAAGGATGCAATGCATTAAAATGATTCTTTCCTCACCTTACAAACAGGAGGTGTACGGAATATTTCCAACCAGCTCTCTATCACAACCAAGATTGACAGAGAACACCCAAAATTGAAGGAATATGCCAAAAGCAAGGGCTGGTGGGATGGGGAAAAGGAATTTGATTTCGCTGCCACATATTCTTATGTAAATACTGCCAGGATGACCACATCCAGAGGCCGATACTCTGAAGGCTATAAACTTCTGAACAAACACAAAGGTATCATTTTTTATATTATTTTTTTATAAGATATGCAAAACATTTAGTGAGCTACATTAATTTAAATCATAAATGATTAGACATCTGATGCAGGCAATCATTTGGTAAACCAGAACTTTCTAGAATAATTTTTTGCCTAAAGGAGAAACACTGAGCTTGAAGTCTTCTATCCTTTTTTGCCAATTTGTTGATGAGGCAAAATTAAAACAAGGGTCAAATATAAACACACAGAGCTACATTAACACTGAGAGGTCACTAAATACTCTGGAAGACCTGCTCTAAAACATTTTGATAGGCTATATATTATTATGTACCTCTAAGGAAGAAAAAACCAGAGGGTAAAACAGACTCCCAGTGGTTTGCAGCCACAAACAGAACCTTATGAACAACTTCAGTCTGGTACCATTCATATAGGCCTAAGACAACAGCACAGCATTCAGATATGTATCTCGCATTTATTTTTTGAGATTGGTTTTTAAATCTTTTTAGTTTCACTGTAACTGCCTCTCTAACCTTGTGTAGTCTAATAAAACACACTGAGAGCAGAACAAAATAATTTTCTGTACTCTAAGCAGGTGTTCCTAATCACTAACTTATTCACTTATTTTTCAGATGTTTATAGAAAGAAGCTATTACTTCTCTTCTAACTGCATCCACCTGGCAGGGTTTTTTTCTGCATCTGTATTCACTTGCTCATTTGAAGTAATTAATCCAAACCAAAATTACATTGCACCCCTGTGTTTTTTTATTTATTTGGCTGAGCTCTGCCAGACTAGGTTTAGCATTTAGTTAACGCGCCAGAATGAATTACCTTTTGCTATCCTGCTCTAGTGATCATGTAAATCCTGCATTCATTTTGGGAATTGCAGGTTCTGAATACTGAAAGCATTTTCATAATACCTGTATTTACGTGTATTATAACAATACTGAGATTCTATCAGTGCTTTCATTCTAAATCCCCATTTTCAGGCATTTACCTGAGCCATTTTAAAAATCACACTAGGTGTTCAGGTTACCAGCCTCATATGGTTTCAGTTTGTTTAGATTTATTTTAAATAGCTGCCCTAACTAAAAGCTATTTGGTTTACAGCATCAGTAAAATCACTGGTTTCTTAATCTACCCTTCCCAGCTTTTTCACTCAGTGGCATTACAGGTTTTTTTCCAGGTTGCCTGCCATGTGAAGACCATTTTTAGATAAACATTATTTATATTTCAAAAAATAAGGAATGTATTTCAGGAATACAAAATAATAAAAAAGTCTAATGGAAAATATGCAATATCTTCTTTCCTGCTGGACAACTTGCCAACTTCTAGTTGACCCACTGACTGTTGCTTCTTTTAATTTCTTTGATTCGTGTAGCATGCTGATTTCTTGAATTTTCTGACTTTCCCAGGTAACTATGGGAATCCTTAAGAATGTTTCCTTGTTGAAATGCATTGCTGCATCCTTGTCTACAGGCAATCTGAATAGTGTATAAAAAAATATGTTGCAGACATCTGACTTGGCAGCAGAGTGATTATTTTAAGAGGAAACAGCAAGGCAGTTTAAAAAAGGAATCTTTATGCAGCTAGAACTTCACTGAGGGAAACACTAAAAGATTAAATGGCAAATGATACCTTCAAGTTAAAAAAAAAAAAGTGAATGAAGTACTGTTTTTCTGCTATAAGCATATGCTCAACTGGTACATCAAATGTGAAAAGAAAACTACTGCAAGCACTGCCTGTTAGAATATTGGATTGCTTGGTGATAGCCATGCCAGTATTTAAGCTTCAGCGTATGCTATACTCAAACAGCGATATTGTTTGAACACTAGATGCAGAGGCATATGTGGAAAGGGTTTTGTTTCTGAGAAAAAAGAATTATTTTCATAGACACGTTTGGCACTGTATCTCACATAGGTAGTTAAGACTTCTTTACAAATGGATGTACTATTGTAGTTTCTGTTGATTCTGAGTATGGAACGTGTTGTGTTGTTACTCCAGTGCATCCTTTCAATTGTCAACTTGAAGCCCAAGTACTTTGGAAGGTCATATGATTAAAATAATAATAATAATAAAAAAGTGACAGGCTTGCTGTTTCATTTTCAAAGTTACACACAAAATCCATGCACAGTTGTTATTTTTACATTTCCAAAGCAAGAGCAGTATTAACTGTGTACAAATACCAATAACTATTATAGTGATTTATCTTCACTTCCACACAGTGCTCAGAAAGTTCAGCCTTTAATCCAAGCTACTAGCTTTCATCTGAAAAGTTACTGTGTGAATGACCATTTGCTAGCCATATGTATTTTACCTCTCTGGGAAACATCATGTGTCTTTGTCCTCCCCTTTTCTAAGTCCTAAATGTTACAGCTCATTATCACCTACTCTTTGAAATAAATACTTTGGGGTAAACAATAATATTTTTAAGTGTGTTAGATACTAAGGTATGCTGTCAGAATAGTTTTTTTTTTCTTCTGCCAATATGGACAAACTAAAATTGGCATTGCCTATTAAAGGAAAAAGCAGCCAGTTGTACAGTGCCATTTAGGTGGTATTATAAGTAGTGTTGTGTGTAAATAACTATATTGTGTTGTATCTTAAATAGGATCTATCACTTCTGAAATAATGATGGAAATTCTTCGGGACAAAGAGAGTGGCATTAATATGGAAGGTGGATTTATGACAACTGGAAGCATGGTGTCTGTATTGCCTCAGCAGCCTAATCTGCCGTGTATTCACTTCTTCACTGGAACTCCAGATCCTGCGAGGTGATGTAGCAAGTAATTAGAATAAAAAGTTACAAATATCTAAATGAAAAAGTGTTGCAATTTGACTAATTATATTCCTTTTTGCTTTGTGTTTTTTTTTTCTTTTTTTCCCCTGAAAAAGCACAATCAAGAAGTAGGAGGAACGTAATGTACATTATGTACATCAATGCTATTTGCTAACCTACTTAGTGAAACACTGCTATGACACTGACTTAAACATCAGTTAGGAGATTTTTTTTTTTTTTAAAGACTTCTTTCTTAACAGAAGGAATTAGAAGAATGGAAAAAATACAGCAATCTACTGTCTCAACAATTTTAACAAAACTGTATCAGTAAAGGATCTCTGTTCTGTTTTCTCTTTCTAGGTCTGTATTCAAGCCTTTCATTTTTGTGCCCAATATTACTCAGTTATTAAAAACTAGTTCCCCTACATTTGGTCATGATGATCCAGTTAAGAAGCAACCACGTTTTCAGAATAAGCCAGATCGAAGACATGAGCTCTATAAAAAACATGAAAGTGCTGCTGTAGTTATGGAAACTATCGAGGTACGTTGATTAAATCAGATTTCAATGCAAGCAGGTGGTTTATATAAGCTCCTTGCTCACATTTTGTTAATGCAATACCGTTTAATGCCCTTTGATGGATTGTGAAGAACACTGTAGTGCACCAGAAGCCCATTGTCTTGGCATCTGGCAGGCATATGTTTCAAACACTAAAAACTGCAACTAGCACTTTGCTGTACTCCCAGTCGTAGCCCCAGACAAGCATCTGTACTGCTTATATGCATATGCAGGCCACACATACTCCTGCACCAGTCAGATAATGGGGAAGTGCTTGAGCAGCCACAGGCAAATATGCAGCTCCTGTTAAGAGTACTTAAAACTCTTCAGGACCCTGGTCTCAGGCAGTAAGGAGCACATGCCTTTTACGGTTGCTTGGTATGGACAGGAGAGGAAACAAGATCACAAAGATAGCTGGATGCAAAGGTGAAGCAGGGGGGTAGCTGCCTACCTTTAGCAGTAGCATCTCTCCTATTTACAGATACATGTTCTAAAAAATAAGACATATGCCCGCTTAGGTTTTGGTAGCATAAATACCTGGAGCCGCTTTAATTTTATTTATTTTCCATCCATCAGACAAGGATGCAGGGAGATGAGCGAGCGCCAGATATTAGGAAAGATAACTAAAAAAAACCCTGTCACGGTGCTAAGTTCTACCAACACAAATTTGTACCCTAGAAACTATTAAGAGGTTAAAATAAGGACAGTAGAACAGAATTCTGTTGAGATGAACACTACATAACTTTGTATAGTTTTTAGTGAAATACAGATGTTTCTTTTTGCAGGGCCAAGGTAAAGAGATGCTGAAAGAGATACAGGAGTTGGAGAAACAGAAGATAAGTGAAATGGAATCAGTCCTGCAAAATGGATGTCTTGACGTTAACCAAGCAGTTAACCTTTTTTCACAGTGTGTAGAAGAAGAACTCAAAATATATAGCTAAACCTACTATTTGAATGTGGTAAAACTCAGTTTTATGCTTAACTCTTCTAATGAAGTAGCTATATAGATTATGTCTTATTTTCAGTATACCAGTTAGTACAGTCAGTTTTAAAGATGCAAATTCATATTCAGGCCAAACAGCTTTTTGCTGTATGAAACAACACTGAAAACGCTCTAAGAGCTAGGCAGTGGCTTTGTCTGTATGTGGCATAAAGCTGTCAGCAGAGGTTGATTTTGTCAACAAACAGATGCAATTAGGATGTAATAGCTTGACTAAATTGCAGAACAACCCCATCTCCGGATAAAGAACACTAAATCAGATTTGGAGAACTCAGTTGTAGTGTACAGACATGTGGGTATTATAGTCAAGATAACTGTAGAATTTCACATTTCCTGAATTAAAATGGCCATGCTGAAGGACTTTCTAAAATGTAGAACCTATTACTTGCACTGAATAAAAAGGAAAGTGATATGCAAGTCAAGTAAGATTGATATTCAGCTGTTTGACAAAACTGTTCTAAGGTATGTTTCATATATGAACCTTCTACTCCTTCAACGTAAGATGAGGCTAAGAGCTCAAGGTATATTAAAACCAAACCACAGTTACAATTTTACCATGATTTGTTGTGAAATCTGATTACATGGAATTCAACAATGTAAACATCCTGCAAGTTACCACATGATTTTCACTTCCCTGTATTTTCCCCAGCCTGATAACAAAAAAAATAAATTAACTTATTTACATACAATATGATCATGGTCAAATTAATTCTGCAATACACTTTATAACATAACGTGGGAGGTTTTTCATGTTTCTTGAATTGTTACTTTTTTAAATCGGGCAACTAGAAAGGAAGAGGTTGGGGTACACAAGTATATACATAGACCCATCGGGACACTTAAAAGGACTTCTCAAATTTTTTTCACTTCATGTAAAGCCCTTTAATTTTGGCAAGAGCAGTCATGGTTACTATGGACTTGATTTAATCAAGCTTTTTGCCCTGCCAGGAGCTTTTCCTCCCTGATCCTGTTTAAAAGTAATGATCAGTGTGACACTACTTTTTATTATCTGTGGCAAGGGACAAACTGAGCAAACAACAAAGAAGATTCTGGCTTTACTACATGATCAAGCAGGATAAAAAGTATGACTGGAAGGAAAAAAAACCACAACCACAACTGCAGCACTTCTGCAAACCTTCAGAACAGAACATGTAACATGAAATGGAGCATTAGAGCTGCAGTAGCTGTATGTGACATGACACAGCATCCCCACAGAAAGACCCAGCAGACCACAGAAAGACCATTCTTTGATTTTTCTGTATTTAGTCAGTTTCTAGAATCGTCTCAGATGCTAAAGATGGGGCTACACACATGTAGTTTTCTCATTTTGTAAACTGTTCTATCCCCCCCACTGGTAAAAAAAAGTAAGTATAGGCAAACAAAAGAAATACATTTACAATGACATTTGCAGAATGAGTAAGAAAATTAGGAGCTTGGCAGAATTTGTTCTTCCTGATACTACAGTGAAAGTAGAAGTTAATTTGGGATACTGTGTTCAAATCCACAGCAAGAAACTAACGGGTCAGGAAAAGTTCTTGAACATTCTAGTAATCCTATGTGTACCAAGTGGCAGTAGCAAGACAAGACTGAGTAGCAGGTAAGACTAAAACTAAGCTTGAGTTGATTGTGAACCTTTTGTGCCTGTGTTGCCAACAAAATTTCTTAGAAGTTCATAGCACAGTGGATGTTCATGAACTGGAAGGTATATTTAATAAAATTTTGCTGTATTTAGCTGTTTTCCTCATGGATGTCTATATCTGACAATTGTGTGTATTTTTGTCCTATTTTTGATCATCTGCGCTAGCTCTTTGATAACTTCAAAGCATCAATAAATGCCAGGTAAAACTGTGCTGGAAACCAAGGTATGAGTCAAGTTTACAGGTAGCATAGCAAAACAAGAGAAGTAATTTTGTGCTACAACGCAAATCTAGTGAAGTTATACAAGAATGAAAATAGTGAAGGTGGTGGAGCAGGCCTTGAAGTGAATTTCTTGGCCACTTAATCATGGGGTGGCAATTAACCAGGTTAAGCACAATGATCTGGTTGTAATATAGACAAATACAGTCCAACTGTTCCTCTGGTTTCTCTGCTGTTTTTTTATTTACTGATAGGATACAAAGTAAAAACAATGTGATGTGTAGAGACAGATGAAGTGATGGCCAACGGAGTACAGAATATTTTGGTACCTTTTTTTCCTGAGACTTCACCCTCCTAGAACACATGCAGTGTGAAAACAGAAAATGAAGATGAGATCGGGGGAATAAATAACCCTCACTCCCGCAACCATACATTAAAGAAAAAACAAAGACAAACACACACACCACAAAAGCCCAGAATGTCCTCTAGAGGGCAATCTTTGTACGTATTTCATCTAGGAATACATCTTGCAGCTTATTTTCAAAGGTCTAGAGCTTTAGGAAGGATCATTATTTAAAAAAAAAAAAAAAAAAAAAAAAAAAAAAAAAAAAGAGTACTAGCATTGCTACCTAGAAAACTAAAATTTTTCTATCCACCCCTGTCCATTATCACTATTACTTTGAGATTAGTGATAAAAAAAAGAACTAGCGTTTCACTGGAGACTCCTCTGGACTTACTTGTTTGGTGGATGTTTTTATGGAACTGTAACTTCCAAACTAATCCACCTTCAAAATAAAAGAACCCATTGCACCACTGACCACAGCTTTAAAGCAAAGCTATTTCTAACCACCAAAAATTCACACATCAGTAGATCAACTGTTGACATACATCAAATTGTCAACTATTTTAAAACTTGCCAGTGCTCCTTGTGGAAGCAAATACTTACCAGATTAGAGAGTGAGTTACCTTTCTAAAGTTATTCAAAGTCTATTCTTAGCTTCCAGAAGTATCCAGTGATTTAGAAATAGATTATCATATCCCATATTTCATTCCTAGGTTCTTTAGTCTATTTATTACCCATCATATGCTCATCGGACTAATGGTTATGATATCAGCAGTCACAATGTTCTAACAGTTAATCTAACAGAATTTGGTGTCAGTTCTTAAAGGTGTTCTCTTCATTAAATTTGTATCAGGGAGCCTTCTCTAAGCAGAAACCTTGAGCAATTTCTTATTTAAAACAGATATGTTTTGTTCAAGTCTAGAGAATAGCAGAGCCATTACAAAAATGGAGGCAAGGGCAGGACTTTATGATGAAAATGAGTAAGAGAAGAGTGCAAGAACAATGACTATGCATAGGACCTTAAAGCTGACCTAATATCAACTTGTGAACATTTGAAGAATTTTTTAAAAAAAGAAAATATTTCTTGTATTTGGCAAGTAGATGACAATGTGAAACATTCCTAAAGATCTGTTTAGGCTGTTAGACAAAATCAGGTATCTTTTTGTGAACACCCATTAACAAGTCCTCTGCCTACTTAAAAAGCATCAAGGGTGGATTTAAGAAATGCCAAATTTGAAACCCAAGAGCCACTTTAACAAATCTCTCAGAAAAACACATTTGTTGTAGATCTTGACATGCACACATAACCCTCCCACACCTCACATCACATCAAAGCTCAGAACTCTGAAATCAAGTAACAGATTTATTGACAAGTTACAGTATTTAGAAGCCAGAAATACTCACGGCTTCCACTCTTAAGTCACATATATCTAATTATTCCAAAATATTTGATGTAGCCATCTTCAGTAGTTGTAATGGAAATATGCCATTGTTTTCCTTTGTGGCCACAGCCTGATACAAATGTCAATTATTTTGTTGCTGGAAAACATTAAAATACGTCAGTTTGTATAGCATACATATGCAGTAGGATGCAGTTATATATTTCTGTGCACACTGCGGAAGGGCAATAAGGAATTATTTTTCCAATATTAAGTCTTGCATGGACTTACAGCTACCATAAAACAACTGTTTCTTGAACAGTAGTTTATGCTGCTAAAATCACTTTTTATTCTTCAAAGTAGATGCATAAGTAGCTATAATAAAAATCTGTGTAGTAAAAAAAGAAAAAAAGGAAAGAATTTTTTTAAAAAAGATGAGAAGAGTTATTCATATGCTTGAACAAATAATATTTTTTTAATACCTCGGTTCCTCTCCCTCTCTATATAAAAATTTTATATAGACATATAAATGCTGTTCTTGCAGTTTTAAAAGGGCAGCATAATGGCTATCAGATACTACAGTTTGTCTTTAACATTTTCAAAATACTGCAGAAGACACACAGATTCTCAGATTTTGCCTTCAGTGCAAAGGAATCTGAATGACACTAGAATAACTATTTAAACATCATAGGAAGATACCTGAGCCTTATTAGAAACCTGTCTTAGGCAACTATTACTAAAATTTTAGGATCTTTATCTACTCTAAACCCTAACTTGGATGTTCAGTTAGGATTCTTTGTATAATAGATTTAAAAGTCATTGTATTTAATTTAAAAGGTTTTACGATATGATAAAATTTGTCATCTTGACTTGCACAGGTATCCAAGACTTCCATAACATATTTACCTGGGAGGCTGGCACTTCTGAATTAAACTGGAAAGGCTAGTTCCAGAAGGTAAAAATCTACTCTTGACAAAGCTGTTACTACCACCATAAGGCAAAACTTCAGAACCAATTGTTCATATGAAATTCCATTATATAATTTCCTAATTTGGGGGAGCAGTGGGTATTTTTATATTTTTAAGTTTTAGTAAGTTTGTACAAAATCATTATTTATTCCACTCAATATTTCCTCAGGTTTAATACTCTGATATTGGAATCATCTTCACAACAATTCCACTTTTACAAATGGAGGATTTTATCTTTAAAGGAGAAACAAACCACCTGATCTGAAGTGTAAACAGCTAGATAAAGTCTCTGGTGTTAGACAAGAGTAAAGTAGTAAAAACTGGGGTATGAAAGAAGAAATCCTACTTCTATGAAGTCAGGGGCAAGCTTGACCGTAAACAGGAATCAATATTTCATCACACTAAAATATGGAAAACACACAGCAACATGAAAAACACCTCTCATTTATGATTTTTTTTTTCATTGTGGCACCAGTCACTAAAGCTGCTGTCATTATGCCTCTAATACAACAGTGACATGTATCATTTCGCTATTTGTTTTGCTCAAAATGGAAAAAATGCTCTAAATCCAGAGCATCTTGCTTTATTCTAGTTGCATTCTGGTTGGAACGCTCACTAAATATCACTTGCTACCATTTCCTTCAGAATAGACACAAGTAGAACCACATCTCTTAACTTTACAAGACAGAA